TATATATATATATATATATATATATATNTATNTATATATATATATATTATATATATATATATATATATATATATATATATATATATATATATATATATATACCATGCATCTGGATCTAAAACCTCAGGTATATTCATATGAGGGATTGACATATATATACTATGCATTTGTAAGATGACGTCGCGGTTGAACCTTGCACTCAGTGTTTCGTCAGCAAGTGGGTGATAGGCAATTTCGTAAGGTATACAGCCAGTTCATGTTACCCTAAGTAATGAACAACAACTAGCCGGACAGATATCAAAGGAGGGTGTATGCCACAATTCCGAATCCGTAGTTGTCAGGTGACGAATCACGAGCCAGCAGTTTCTTTGCAATCGCACGTTTCTGCGACCCCGACATGAGATCATTTGAAGCTCAATCTGAGCCCCTTTGTCTAGATCCGATTTTTGCTGTCGAATGTAAGACTGATGTATAGGACGGACGCGGAAACTACCCTGCTCTTACTGAAATTGTGTACGAAAGATGCAGGTGTTGTTTATTTTAACAAAAAGTAAAGCCTGGGACAAAAGTCATTCTGTACCCCCAAACTCTGTAAGGTATATCACACAATCTTCGTTCTTATGCGTGCCCATCTTCACCTGAAAATCAGTCGATGCACTAACGAATGCAAACTATAGATTGCCGTTTAAACCGATATGCGTGGCACATCCCACCTAACTCGCAGCAAGCTCCATATCCAAATCATTTAGAATTCAAGCGTACAGCACGCAGGTGCCGTCTTCAGTTCCATTTGTTTGATCCATCAGAAACTTGCTGTCGCACTCACGTATAACTATCTGTTAATGTAAACTTTTTTTTTTGAATTTCTTTTTGTATGTAACTTGGGACGGTTAGAATACTTGATATGGATATGAACAGAAATGACAAGGATAAACTCGACAGTATGAATTGACACAAAAATAGTCACAGCATACAGATTCTCATTAAAACCTCTTTTTCTGCGTCGCATACATACACTGGCATACGCAATCCACGATCTTACCTCTGCCAACTTCAGGCCGAATACCCTTATAGACTACTTCAAACTGATGCTGGCCCGAACAAATCACAAGCGCTGAACCACAACAAATGTGCGTTCGCAGTCAATACAGTCAATGTTCTAGGCCATGAACACAGAATGCAGACAGCCAGTCCAACAGCAAACGAATGGCGTCGTAAGATTGATGTCTAATGGATAGGTAAGGTCTTCTGTAGCCCCAGAGTAGAGCCACATACACACACGGAGCACTCAGACATTTAACAGAGTCAAAACACAGCTAGTTCAACCCAGAAGTAATCAATTCGCGCGTTTTTAACAAATCAGGTAACGAGTGGAGTTTCGAGAGTGCCCATCGAGTCAATTGACATACGGCGTCTTATTCACCCACTGTTTCCCAATCGGTATACTGAATTCAGAATAATTAACGTTGAACATGATATATGGTGGATTCAGAATATATAACGGTGAACATGATGTATGGTGTATTCAGAATAATTAACGCTGAACATGATGTATGGTAGATTCAGAATATATAACGGTGAACATGATGTATGGTGGATTCCGAATAATTAACGTTGAACATGATGTATGGTGGATTCAGATTAATTAACGTTGAACATCATA